AACTAGGGAGTTCAACACCCAGGATTTATAAAGGCCAAGCTTGACAAAAAAAACCACAAAACACTGGCATAATCATAATGTGTGAATGATGCATCTCTCGCAATCCAAGGAGCACCTCCCTCCTGCAACATCTTCCTTCTTTACCTGGAGGCAGAACCAAACTGGTTACTATGGGGAAAGGAAACTGAATTCCAGGCCTTGCACAACTTGCACCCAACTCCTTGCACACGCAGTTGGCAGCCTTGCACGCAAAGCCATCAGGAGGGGCTCCGACCGCTCGCGTTTCTAGGCCTAGGAAGGGGGAGGCGAGGGAAACCCCTTCTGAAAACAGGGACAACAAATATGCAGGAAATAGTGCAGGAGTCAAGGCTGACTTGGGAGACATAAATCTCTGTTTTGCAAAGACGACCTCTCCTCCTCTCCCTCCATGAAAAGCTTTCCCTGTCGAAATGGAGCGTAAATCCGCTTTTCTGCGTCCCCCCCACCCCCAGCGGGGGCAAATCCGAAGCTTTGCTTTCCGCCCTGCCTTGCCCGTGTATGAAAAGGGACGGCAGGGGAACATGGGACCACCGGCTTTGCGTTGCCCCTCCCCACGACTCCAAGTCTGATGGAAGTTTTGCATGTCTCAATGGAGCCTCCAACGCGGGAGAAAAGCTCCATCACTGAACCCCGAATCACGTCTGGATCTCCAAGTCCAAGACTTCCCTGCAGCCCCTTCCTTTGCTAGGAAGACTCACCCAAAGGCTCACAGCGAAGGGAGGTGCGTGGGTGCAGACTCGGACTCCATAGAAAGAAGGAATAACCTTTCAAGCCTTTGCTGGAAAATGCCTCGGGAAGCAAGCATCTCTCTTGGCTTGGGAAAGAGGCCAGCGCACGCTCAGTTCTCTTGTAACACGGCGCTGCCCCGCTCTTCCAGGGAGCCCCCTAGAGGATCCTATGCGCATTGCGAGAAGACCCTGCAAGGGCGCTGGACATCATGTTCCATGTGGGTCTGGGATGATGGGCATTAAACTCGGACTATCTAGAAAGGAAGTAGCCTCTCCCGCAAGCATCAGTTTCTTAGATTTTCCTCTTTTTCATCTCTCATCTTGTGAAGATTGAGAAAATCTCTTATGGAGACTCAAAAGTTGCTATCCACAAGAGCAGCTTCTCTGAAGGGTCTGCAGGGATTCCCTCAAAAATGAGCAAAATCCTGTCAGAAATGGCAGGGCGGTTAAAAGACAAAGAACAAAAGTCTCTCTCTGAAACCCAGCTTGTGGCTGGTGGCAAACTCAGCCTTGAAGTGAGGGGAGGTCAGGGTGCTGGCAGAGACACAGAGAGGAAAGTGACAGGTTGAGGAAAATAAAGATTTGTATTGATTTTTCTTTACTGAGTTCAATTATTACAGCTGCCTTTTAAAATTCATGCCTTTGGGCAGCCAAGGAGACCTAGAAACACTAAAGGCAGCCTGTAATAATGTGAATAATCTGATCATGATGAAAAAGTGGCATCGATAGAAAAGTACCAAGATCAAGCTTATCATGGACCTTT